TATCTATATATATATATAAATATATATATATATATATATATATATATATATATATTACAATAATAATGTAATATAATACGATGTATTAAACAGCAGCCTGAACATGAATCTTTTGTGAGCAGATGGGTATGAATACAGCAACTTAAAGGCAAGAAATCAGCAGCATGGATGATCAGCAGCACAGATAAAGTGTCATATCTTTAATTAAAGTTTCCTTACAGTGATTATTCTGGTTAGATATTCATGAGTCTAACAGCCTCAGGGTAGAAGCTGTTCCTCAGTCTAGTGGTTCTACACTTAATGCTCCTCAACCTCCTTCCTGAGGGGAGCGGGGCAAAAAGTGTGCGTGCTGGGTGAGTGGGGTCCTTCATGATGCAGGTGGCCCTCTTCCTGCATCTGGAGGTGTAAATGTCTGTGATGGTGGGTAGGTGGGGTGTGTGTGTGTGTGTGTGTGTGGGGGGGGGGGGGGGTGCTGACTCCAACAGTCTTCTGTGCAGCCTTCACCACTCTCTCACACGTTGATGCTGGAGCACAGGATGCTCTCCACTGCACACCTGAAGAAGAAGGTGAGGACCAGGGAAGAAACATATAATACCATATATTAAGAACATATTGGAATATGAAGTGCTTTCTTTATTTCCTCAAAATGAGATTGTTTAAAAGCTAAAATGCCCAAAATGTCCTTGTAAAATTACAAATCATTTGTCTTTGTGTTAGAGGGAACAGCAGTGTATGAATAACTGTTTGTTTTTTAATTCTCTAGGATCTAAAAATACATACATTTGAAAAATGGCCAGGAAGAAATTTGTTAATTTTTTTATATATAATTTACACTTTTCTCATGAAAATCCTTTCAGAACCAGTGGACGCAGACAGCGTCCCTCTGACCGACAGGCTGAACCTCGGAGCTCTTTGGTCGACCTGCAGCCTTGAACGAGGTTTGTGTTCAAGATTTTCATCAAACGAGGCCAAGAAATGAAGAAATGAAAGGAGCTTTTGGCTGACAGATGAAAAGAGTTGAAATCTCAACGACCCAAGAAAAGACACGAGAAGTGTGTGTGTGTGTGTGTGTGTGTGTGAGGGAGCGTGGGAGGAGGAGGGTGATGATACACATCTGGAGTCCCGGGATATTATTTGGACCAGCCCAATCTTTGCATAATCTGTCATGACCCTGATGCTCTGCAGCTGCTTACTAAAATTACACCTGCTCGCCGCAGCGTGCGAGTCTGGGAGGGAACGAGACCTGGGTGGCCTGCACACCTGACCACCGTGTCCACTGACATGGGTCTGTGTGATCACGTTGCACATACGTCTGCAGGGTTTAATAGCTAAAAGCTGACTGGGTGGGGTCCATGTTACTAATGAAATGTGGTTTTATGAGCCTGAGCCACTGGCCAATGAAAACACACTTCAGGAACTATAAACACACAGAAGTGCTTGGCAGAGTGAGGCCTGACAAGTTGTAAACTGTTCAAATATGTCCATGATTTCCTTCATTTATCTTCAATTTATTGGCTTTTTGTCGTCACATCTGGTGGCGTGATTTGTTTGGTATAAATGTGCAGAAATGCAGAGAATTTAAACGAACTTGAATTTTCAAGCACCGCTAGCTCTGACACACAATGCAACGACTTTTGCACAAGCATGCTCACAGCAGAAAAAATAAAATAAAATCTTTAGCTTCCCAGTTTGCTTATATTTATTTATTTATTTTTAATGACTGGTTTACCATCAACTGCTATAGAGTTTACTTGAGCTCTCCGTGTCAATCTGCAGTCCTGGGTTCAATTTTCCATAACCTGTACCTTCAACTAGTGGTGATTTTAGCCTCTTTTTGGGGGGTGCTCAAACACCCCATAATTTTAACTCAGCACCCCTGAAAAATAAAGAAACCATCATTAGTATTTTTAGAAGAAACTCAGTTCTCACACCAACAATTTTCAGTCAGGTCATCTGGACAGTTTCTTTTTTTTGCTGAAACGTTTCACCTTCCATCCAGAAGGCTTCATCAGTCAAGGAAACACACAACACAAAACTGATTCTTCCCCCAACAGCTTACTCCAAAGAGGAACAAACCAGTTATGTTGGTGCTAAGATGGTGTCTTTGGCACGCCCCCTCCTCTTGTGCCGGCCCTCTTCCTCGTCGACAGTCATGTCAAACTTGTTCAAAACCAAAAAAGTTCTCAAACCTTAGATTCACCAAAATATTGAATGAATTTGAGATAAATATGGAAAAAATGATGACACTTAAACAGGCCATTAAAATCAGATTTTATTTTAATTTTTTGCAGGAGTCTGATCCTCAACACCACCTGTCAATCAATCCAGTAGGCTTGTCAGCAACTGACCAATCAGCAATCTCAATTTGTCCCAAAGGTAAACGCCCCTTACCTGCAGGAGCTCCACCCCCTTTTCTTCAGACAACATTGTCAGGGTTTTGCATTATGAACTCTTTGTGGTCAGAGGGATTTTGTGAAAAATCATCATAAAAATGGTGAAACTTTGTCAGTGGAGAAAATATAATTCAGACAGCATTACCCTGAGTGTTTAGAGGATGTAAAACAGTTTATTCCATTTCCAAAACCTAAACTGAGTCTGGAAAAATGTAAAAGATGGATACAGCCCTGCAGCCAAACTCATGAGTTGCTCAATACAACAGTTAAATGGGAAGTACATGCTCATCTGTATGAAGATAACTGCAAGTAAATCCTTCATTTTCCACCATAATTACATTGTATGCTTAATGGTTAAATTAAAGGTTTATGCTTAAAGCTAGTTGTGCTTTGTTTTGTGTGTTTTATATGTAGATGTTGTAACTTCTGGTTGTATAAGTTTAATCTTTGTTTATTATGATCAGTTAACACTAAACTGATTTTGGACTAAGTGTATATTGGATTGTGTACTGTAAAGCGAAGAGCTACATCATAAGCATCTTAGCTAGCACGTCTGTATTGTGCGCCGCTAGCTTAGCGCTACTTCTTGTGCCATGCTCTCTAAAATAATTATTGAATCAAGTGTTTACTTATGTTGCTAAAACTACCGGTAGATCCAACAATGTTCAGTCAGCTCAGCTGGACAGTTTCTTTTTTTGTGCTGAGACGTTTCGTCCTCCATCCAGAAGGCTTCATCAGTCTGAGGAAACACCAAACAAAACTGATTCTCCCCAACAGCTTACTCCAAAGTAGAAAAAAATGAAACTGTCCAGAGTGTGGGTTTGACAGCAGATTTAACGCTGTTTCTTAGAAACCTTCAGTTTATATACAGAGCTGATGTAACTTACCTAAAGATCCAGCAAATACACCTAGCCAATCAGTGTTTGCCCTTTAGAAACGCCTATTCTTTAGAAACATCCACTTTCAGTCTGCAGAGAACCCCTCCTCCCCCCACCACCAGTGTGCCCCACCCGATTATGAATTCTGACGCCAATAGC